CTACGTTTTGGCTAAGTTATTTCAGAGTGAAAACAGGACATCAACATCCTTGCAACTTGGAAAAATTGGTGGTTTTACTGTGTTTGCATTGAATATTCTCATATTTGGCAACCATTTACAAATAGATGCGATAGTTTTGATTGCAGTTGTCTAAGTTGATGCATCTTTTAGCAATAAGGGACTCATCTCAACTGGTTTTCAGCTGTTTGCATTGTGTATTCTGGTTATATTCCTACATTGCTATTTCATTTTGCATTTAAATTGACATCCTGTAGCATTTATGTCACTATTTATATAACTGAATCAAGTGTACAAGGTTATTGAGTATGTAGATGGCAACAGATTTGCAGTTTTTGCTTATTTATCGCAGATTCACTCCATTAACACAAACAGATTGCATCTAATTTGAAACTTGAGCTTATTCAATCAAGACTGACTGTGCGTTATCCTCATTTTATTTCCATCTTGATGCATGAAAGTCCATTTGCAGACAGCAACTGACTGCGAGTGGTTGCAGACCTGGATTCTACGGTGGCCCTGAGAGGTCAAATGCACTGCCTAATAGCACACATGTATCTATAGTATTATATGACTGATGCTATTAAAGCACATGTTATTTTATGTCTGTTCCTGCTCACAGTTCAGATGAATCCTCAGCTTCTTTTAAGTGCACCTGAGTGCAATCCTTCACATGCTTTGGTTTCTGTTACATCACATCATTGTCTCCCCAAAAGACGTTTTTGTGTTTCATTTTTTTCCATTTCCATTGTGTTTCATTCAACTTTTGCTGTGTTTCGTGTGCTTTTGTGGCATTTTTTCTATTTGCTGGTGTTTTCTTAAGTTGCTGTGCGTTAAACCTCTCAGAATCCCGTCTTAGAAACAACCATTTGAAAGGCAACTCGATCCGAAGTTCAAGTACACACGGTTGAGCTAATTTTAGTCGTGCTGCACTCTCCAACCAATTTGTGTCTGTAGCCTTAAAGATACTGACACAGTTTAAACACAGTCTAAACATTTACATCCTGTTTTTGCTCAGAAAATTAGCATCCCATTTATTGTCACAGTACAATACACATCCCAGTTATTAACCACTCTGGATAGAAAGAACTAATGTTAGCTGATAGCATCCTTCTTGTCCAAATATGGTCATTTCTTTTAACATTCTTGTTTAAAAAACAAACAAACAAACAAACAAAAACAATTGTAGAAACCAAAATGCCAAACTGAGGGTTTCAAAATATCAGCAAAAAATTGAGTGGGTGACATCAAAGTGCCTTTGTGCATCTTTAAAATACAGTCTGTGGGTTCTACAGATATTAAAATGTCAGCGACAGCTCATAAGTTCTGCATGTTAAAAAGTTTCTTACGCCCACATTTTCTTCTATAGGCCAGCAGGGGTGAACTCCTCAGGTCCTTAGTAAACAGTTTCCTATGTCCTATATTTAAATTTAAAGTATTAATAAATGCAACGTTATGTTCATTTTTATAAATTGTCATCTTCTTGTGTATCCAGCAGAATGATAAAGCTTTGTGGGGCCTAACTTGTGATTGATAACTTATAGTATGAGCAAAGAGTTCCCCTCTGTGCTCATGACGTCTGCTTTTAAAAACTAACAGTGAGAACGCTCACCTCAAGGATTAAAAAATAAGACTTTGCAAATCAGTCAGTGCTAACAGAGTGACTTTATCTGTGATTAAGTGCCAACAGAAGATTTCATTACATTCTGGTGAGTTTCCTTGTGTAGCTATAGTGAAAAAAAGATGGGAAAAGCAGTAAATGAAAAACAAATAATCCAAACAATCAAATAATATGGCAAAGTGATCTGTTTAATTCAACAACTTATCTGAACCTATAACACAGCAAAAAGAAATCCCGACATGAAATGATAGTATTTTTTCTTTGTGTATTTTACTTTATTTCAGCTGTGAGCTACAGACTTAAAAAATGTGTCATCACGCTGAAATCTGTTTGATTAGTCAAAAACGTTAATAATGATGATCGGTACTGTGTTAGTTCATATATAACGCTGCTTACTTGGGTAACTGAACGAAACAGCCCTAATCTTAACAGTAACACTTGTTTTCATGCTAAGGCATACATGTCTCCACGGTGGCCACGCCAGCTGATCCAGTTATATCGTGGAAATGCTCTCTTGCTTACTGCCATACAAACAACCACGAATCTTTTTTTGTCTCAGAAAATCTGAGGCTGATAAAACGTCAACAAAGGTGCACCTGGTGGAAATCCACTCAACTCACCAGCTTAATTAGTGACATGACTGGGTATCATTTTCACGTTATCTTGCTCTGAGGCAATGCAGAGCCGCCACTAGAACCCCGTGATAAGGAAAATGTTCAGTACTATAGCGCCACCTAAGTGTGAGTTGCATTTATGTACTTTGGGGCAGATTTTTTTTTTTTTTTTTTTTTAAAGGCACAGGTTATTAGTCTGACTGAGTATTACACGGTATTCGCCACAAGAGGGAGGCCCGTCTCCACTGAAAGCCAATTGGGGGTTTCCCCTCTGGATAAGGTAAGCATCTCTCCTTGCGCCCGACAGCAGGGGTGCCAAAAAATGAAGCGAGGAAACAGTCGGAGGCTGACATTTTCTCCAGGGTGTCCGCCACAGGGAACCTAGTGCCGAGAGCCCCCGGGCTTGGAACAGACAGACGGGGTTGTTTTGCAGACACAATCAGCAGACTGATCCAAGTGCAACAACTAAAGGACCGAGGAGAGCTCCCCGCTTGAATCCCATCTGACAGCAAGTGAGTGTGTTGCCTGTTGTTAGTCTTGCTTTCTTTCATTCTGTCTTTAACGCAGTCCAGCCTCTCCCACTTGTAACTGCAGAGATAATCTACCTAGATTACTGGCTGGATGGTGGAGCTCCTTTATTTCACAGGAATGCGTCAAAATTGTCCCCTCTCTCAAATAAAACGCGTGAACATGGACTGCACTGCCCCCGTGTAAACAGAAACGCTGGCAGCAAAATGCCCCTACTTGTTTTTTTTCCCTCCTTTTAACAAACCAAAGAGTTTGAGTATTTTGTGTTTCGGACAGTTTGTTGGATCAATTGATGAAGGCCTGCTGTGTTTGTGTCAGCTTCTCTCCATTTGCTGCCCTACTTTCTCAAACGTTTAGCACTAAACTCAAGTATTTTAATTCAAAACACTGGAGAATATTTGAAGCGCCTGTATCGATGTTCAATCTGCAAATCTGAGAGATTTTAATAAGACTGGGATAGAAATGCATCCGAAATATTAAGATTTACTACAAGATCCCATTTAGAAGCTTAACTCTTGGAGAGTTATTTGGAAAGAGTGGAGACAAACCACCTGAGATTAAGAACTAAATTGCTCTTATATAAATAAAGTATTAATCGCTGAACAAAAGGAGTCAGATAAACCTTTGTGTTTTAAGTTTTCTGGAAGCAAATCGAAAAATCCCAATATTCTGTCTCCACTGCACGGCTCCCCTGTATGCTTGCCCTTGCTCGTCACTTACTTTCATCAGACTTCATTAATTTTAGCCCACTTTCTGAGCCGTTTTCCCCTTTGTGTTTAAATCCATTAACTGATTTGAGTAATTTCCTTTCCCCCCCTCTCCGTGTCTCATTGTGTTCACTGATACTGTTAATTAGTATTGGCTGCAGGTGTGCTCCGTGGGCGTAGCGCACGCGCACGGGGTTGGGGGTTAATGCCTATTAATTTTAATTATCCGCGGCTTTGAATTCGTGTTTGAACGGTCTTTGTTTGAGATGAATTACTGGATGAAGGCAGGGCGGTTCCGGGCCCGGGCCAGGCCAAGCTGGGCCATGCTGTTCCCCCCAGAGGATGGTACAGTAAATCGCCTACAGGAGGAATGTTGATCAGCTTACAGCGGGCCAGGAGGTTCTCGGGATTTGATCGACCGCGATACTAATGACCGGCCTACCCACCGGTAGGCAGGCTGCACCTGCAATAACACGTAGAGCAACACGCGAGCTGTCGCCTATAAATTACCTGGAATTATGAAGTGAACTGCGGCCCGTCCTCGCGGTTCTGCCGGGCTGGTTTTACACGTGTGACAAGTTATCCTCTGTGCTTACATTAAATGAACTCTGCCCAAAAGTCCCGACACGGCCTATTTTATTTGGCCGTTTTGTGATAAACGTCAGCGGCTCTAATTGCCGTTACCTACGTCTGCGATACCTGCTTTAATTCTCAAATCCCCGAAAATCCATTTGCTCCCCCAGTGCGCCTTTGGGCACGCGCTCCCCAGACGGGCTGTATAAAATTGCCAGCACTCATCACGACAGACCGCATGCTCTTTAAAGTCACATGAAGGCAGTTAATGAGTTAATGCGATGCTGTCATAGCCGAGGGCGCAGGTCCACATTTTCTCTGCCAGAACGAGCCTCTTTTTACACAAGCGCACAACAGGCAGTCCTGGTGTGTTTGATTCCATGTTACTATTATTAATAAAGGGGGGGAAAGTCGGTGCCTCGACGCAAATAAATCCCGCGTGTGCTGGACTATTATTGGGATTAATAAGTCACAACATTCTGCATCTGCCTCTTGTTTGTTTGGCCCCCGCTAACCCCTGACTCTGTTTCAACAGGTTCAGCGTTGTGCGCTCATTACGACCTCCATATGGCTGCCTGTGAACACAGCCCAGCACGTAGCGTTCAGAGCAGGCAGCAGAGTAACTGCCGGTCCGTAAAGTGGCGGAGATGTATTTGTTGTAAAAGTGAGACCGTGGAATGAAATCAAATGATATAAGTAGTGTTTTTCTTCGCGCATATTTATTTCTTTTATTAATTGGGCGCCTCTTCAAATTACAGGAAAAATGAAACTTAAGTTATCCAAATACTGTGCGCTATTGGATATGCAGAGCTCTCTCTCACACACACACACCCTCACTCTCTCTCACCCTCACTCTCTCTCTCGGGTGCGCTCTTTCTCTCTTGGTTTTGGGGGAAATCTGGGTTTGATTTTAACGGGGAGTAGCCTAACCCGGGCTCTCTTTACATATGGATGTACTGGACGCTCTTCAGTCGCTCTGAGCTTCGGACGGGGATGAGTTCGGTGGTTCATCTCTCCTCCCGCCGCTATCTTCTCACTTGTGCTTAACTATTTTTTAAAAGGAGACGAACGTGAGAAAGTACGCCTCACTTTTTTCCCCTCGTTTGGAGAGGACGGTTTTTGACGGAGCACGAAGCTTGATGCTAAGGTGGATCTCTCGCTTGTAGGACGTCTTTTAAAAGTACTAAGTCAGCGGCTCTACCGTCTTGTGACACTGGGGTAAGTTTATAATTTGCGGCTCACCGTGCCTGTTTGTTCCACACACCCGGCGTGTGCGCGTCTCTGCGGAGAGCAGATCTCAATTTTACGCACCGCTTATTTTCCTAGTAAGTGACTCACGGCGCTCGCTGTGACGGGCTGTCCAAACCTGCTATTTGTTTTAAACGCAGGCAATGACTGTTATTACCGCATTACAGACTGAGGTCGTGTAAGTTTCGGGTTGCTGAATCACCGGGACGCGCTGGATCAGAGCGGCGGACATCACGAACAGGTGTCAGCCTCCACGGTTTACACCTGGCCCACGTGTCGCCGCAAAGGAAAAACAACAATGTCAGCCCGTGCCGAGGTGCAAGAGGTGAGCTATATGAAAGCCAGCTTGCATGCAACAGCTTCCAGGTTCGGGCACTGGCGCGTAATCGGTGCATTGGCCGCTTCTAATATTACCCCCTTTTCCGTTCGACGCCACCACGTGCAACTTGTGGTTTAAAAAAAAAAGGGGGGGACATTTATGCATTAAAAATGTTTAAATTAAGACACAGTAGCTCGTTTGGAGAAATAACTTGTCTTTATTATTAAAGGTCAGGAAAATCTGTCTAAATCAGGGTTGGCAAACATAAGTCCCAGGGGCAAGAATCGGCCGCCCAAGACTCCAATCCGGCCCACTTGATGGAAAATGTGTAGGAGGACATGAATATATGACTTTTGACCGTCCTTTTACAAGTTTTGAAGCCTTTTTTTTTTTTTTTTTTTTTTTTTTTTTTTTTTACTGATCCAGACCTTCCCCATTACCATTCATACTACCCCAAAGTAAATAAATAATAGATTTCTATCATTTTAAACATTACTGCTACACAGAATTTAAGCCCAAAGAGTTGTGCTGACAGATTTCATACATTTACTGCAGCAGCATTTCTTTATCATTTAGAAATGCTGTTGAAATTTGACTTTCTTTTTTTTATATTAAAATCTCTCTGGGTTTAAATGTGTAGTTAAGCTTCTGCACACTGACAGAAAGGGGAGTTTCACTGGTACGGCCCACATAAGATCAAAGTAACGTGTATGTGGTCCGTGATGTAAAATTAATTTGATACCTGTGCTCTAAACTCTAAATAGCAAATGATGATAATACATTTTTGCACTTAAGTCCACTTCCTGTCAGGGTGTGATGGGGAAACAATAGCCTTTACAATACTGATGAGGTTCACCCTCCCCGAGCTCATCCACTTCTCTGCTCTCAAGCAGGTACAAGCCTGGAAGCGAAAGCGAGAATCCCATACCGATGGCTTATCTTAACTGCTTCAATAGACTTAAAGTATCCCCCTATTGCGCTCTGAAACAGTGTCAGCCACTTGACCTACTTCTCACTCTCGCCGCAAACGCCTGGAATCGGTGCACGATGAGGGCCTCTGAAACCTTGCCGCTCGCCAAGGTCAGAAAGAATGTGAAATGTCAAGTCGAAGCCAGAGGAAAGCAGGGGGAGTTTAATGCATCTGAAGCGAAGGGCTGTTCATCTGGAGTGCAGCCACTGCTTCCCTGTTTTTGCAAATTAATCATCATTATTTAATTGCATCACACCCTGCTTCCATCAGTGACAGAGCGAGGGAGGTAGAGCCAGGAGCAGCTGAAGGCACATGATGTGGAGGCTAATCCAGAGCAACATAGTGCAGATTTTTATTAACTCCTTAAAGTGCGGCTGGATGGGGATGGTTAAAGCTGCAGTAACATAAGCAGACTGTTTTCTTCTGCCTTGAAGAGCAGGATTCCTCTGGATCTTGGCTCCGTCCACCTGAGCGAGTAAAGTCAACACTTCCACTATATTTTTCCTTCTGTGGCTTCAGCAGTTTGACGAGAGCGGGAAAGTAATGCTATATCTGTTTCTCCTAGTCGCATACACTGCTCTGTTTTTACTGTGTGTAACTTCATCCCCCTTGAGTCGAGCATTCGAATAAACTGTGCAGGCTGATTAATTAATAAGGTCTGCTCAACCACGAGCCTGTGGGAGAGGCTATCATTGAACTCACGATGCAGCTGTTTGTCAGGAGCTACCATATCAGATTCTGGTAGCTACAGGGATAAAACACAAGATCCAAGAATTAGAGTTTGATTTCAATCCATGAAGAATTGATATATTCTGTTTCCAACCTTGCATTTATATGCAGCCCATGAGCTGAATGTGGTGTGACAGAGTACCCACATTACATGCACTCACTCAGGCAGCATCTGTCTCCACTTCAGAGGTGAGAATGAAGTTGAAATACTATCTTGACTGCTGACTGAATTGCCTGTGTGATATCTCTCTGAGTGACAAATTAGGTGTTTGTACTTGCTTACCTTCTCTGTTAAAATACCCATCATTCATCAGCGTGATACCCAAGATGGCTCTCGCTGTGGGAAGAGGACCCAGAGGCAGAGATTCACATTTTATCCCACCACTTCCTGCACCAGCAAACGCTAGGCCTGCGTTTGCTAGCTGCAGATTTCATCCAGATGCAGTGTGTGTGTGTGTGTGTGTGTGTGTGTGTGTGTGTGTGTGTGTGTGTGTGTGTGTGTGTGTGTGTGTGTGTGTGTGTGTGTGTGTGTGTGTGTGTGTCTGTGTGTGTGTGTGTGTGTGGTCCACATGCGTATATCTGGCCCCACTTATTTCCTATCAGTATACTTATCTGACTTGGATACACACAGACACATCCATAGTGATGGAAAAGTGTTAGTGCCTTTACACTATGACCTCTGACCTGTGGGCAACTCCCCTACAGAAATCCCCCTGGGGTGTAGTAACATCGCCCTCAAGGGAGAATGAATAAAGATGGAGAGGAAAGAACAGGAAGAGGTGAAGCAGGCTTGTCTGAGTCACAAGCTTTGGCATCCGATAAAGTGTCTTGTAAATACAACTTGTTTGTCAAGGAGTGTGTTTAATGAACGCAACCTTCGGAGTATTTCAAGGACTTAATAAAACGATTTGCACCCCCTTTGGAGTTCAAAGTAGGTCCGTGCTTTTGGCTGTGGTGGGGTAGAGGTTGCTCTTATGCAATGGAAAAAAAAAAAAAAAAGAGGAAAAGAGACCGTTTTTCCTGTTAGGGGGGCTTTTGGGAAAACCGCGGCTCTGCCTACCGCAGCCAACCTTCAAAGGGTTTTAAAGGAGCGTTCACCTCTCTTCTCCTTAAATCCTTCCATGCCTCTGAACGAGTTACTTCCTCTCATACCCAGAAACGGCTCACCTGCCTCTCAAGCTGCGGTCTGGGTTGTGCTTATGTCCATGGGAAATGTTCCGTAGGGCAGCCCTCCAGTCCAACCGCTTCCTGAAAACACCACACTTTGGGAAGTTCAGCATTTCTCACATGTCTGTATTATCGCTGTAATCCTGCTACTTGATAGCTTTCATCCAGTGTTAAAGGAATTTGTTAGTCTGCCCGCCATCGTGGTCCGAGGATATCATCCATCTTTTTCGGTCTCTCTCTCTCAAGCTCATCTTGACAGCACATGTAGGGGAAATATTTCTTGTATTTGAAAACAGATCACAGCGTGACATAGGTGGCTATAAATTTTTGGACGCCGGTCCTTGTACTCCAAACTTTTACCCTGTCAGCTAAAAATCCAGAAGAAAAGTTTTTCCTCGTGGGAGCTTCATGGAGATTTTTTTTTTTTTCAAGAAAATAGTTCCACATCCTGTAACGCAACATACTTATGTTCAGAATGATCCATGATCCATTTGGCTGTGACTCAAATAGATTCAGAGTTTGTAACTGCTAACTCACATACTTTATTTTGCAGTGTGATTTAAGGTTGAGCTTTCTGTAGGATTTAGTCTTAAAATCAGTTATTTTACCACAGATGTTTGGTTTGTGTCACTGACTAAATGTTTTTTAAAAAAAAGGTCAAAACTAAAAAAGAAATTATTTAAATGCATCATATTTTATTATATTTTTTTTTAACTGTAGAGCTCATACTCGTCTTCACCCTACTTACTGTGTTTTCTTCTCGCTTTTTATGAGTGCAGTCACATTTAAAAGTGAAGCAGAAAACACATGAGTCGGATGTGTGGAGGCTCTAAGTTGGAAAAACAACTAAAACCAAAGGTCTTGTGTATTCATTTGATGTGTATTTTTGCCTGTTTCTGTTCTCACAGTTTAACCCTCTTTAATCCCGTGTAAATTCATGAGTAATGCCTAAAACTTTCTGTCTGCTCATGTCCTCTCCACTCCCTTACGCTTCTCGTTTTCTCACCGAGAGCAGGCTCACCTCACTAAACCCTCTTTTTAACAGACAAAAATATACAACAAGGTGTCCTATCAGCAGTTTTCGTGACTTTTTGCACTAAATACAAGGATCAGCAGCTCAGTACAGCTTCCCGTCCAGAGTCTGTGAGAGCCATCTTAACTTCTCTGTCTGTCGTCTCTCCTCCTGTTTGGTTCTGGATCAGGTTCTGTTGATTTAAAGAACTGCTGTCAGACTCGGGGCCGGCGGTGTGGGCTGGGTCAGAGAAGCTGCTGCATTCCTCTGCTGGGCGTTCAGGGTTTCTCCCTGTGGTGTCTCTTTCTGTCAGATAGAAAGGTAGAGAATTTTTTTTTTTCACTTGGATGTTTTATGATCTTCTGTGGATCTGCCTGCTGCGTCTCAAGCCACACAGACACTTTGAAACGGCTTTGTGTTATCCCAGAAACAGCCAGTACTATCTCATGGACTTTGCTTTAGCTACAGGAGTTTGATATAGCAGTAAGGTGATGGTGAGTAGTTTTGAAGGTTGGAATTGGAGGATTTGTCACATTATATATACACACACACACACACACACCCTCTGAGGAAACATAAGCAGGCTTTAAAAATTTGTTAGTGATCCCCGTGCTAATGACGCCCTCAGCTGTGAGAGGTTACACCCCTCTTTCCTCAGCCCTCCCCCTGCCTCTTCAGTGCCTAATGAATGCTAGTGAGGTACTCAGACTTTCCTTCACCCTCACGTACTTACACACAAACACACACACACACCAATGGTAGGATCTTCATGACCGTGGAGATGGACATCATTAAGTGGGATTCAGGCTGATAATATCTGACCCCTGTTACCTGAAACCTGTCAGTCATGTTGATTGGTCTGGACAAGTTTGTTTATCTTTCAGGTGTGTGTGTGTGTGTGTGTGTGTGGGGGGTGCAAAGTGGACAGGGATGTGATTCATGATTAATCAGAACTGTCATTTATGGCCGGTTCCATTTTCTCAAATATATAAATTTATGTTATTCTCTCATAAATGGCATCAATTAATAATTTATAGGTGTGGCACAAAAGCTAAAATAAACCTTGTGAAACGTGACTACTTCCTGATATCTGAAATAGAACACTAGTAGTTGATAAATGGATAAGATTGAGGGGATGGAGTAGATGTAGGGGATTCCTGTTGCTTTCCTGTTCAGCGGTGTAATATTCATACAGTGTATCTTTCCATGCTGATAATGAGAATGGAGGTAGCCCTGTTGTTAGCCTATTAAAAATCCCATCATGATTCCAGGCAGCCGGTAATAACCCCATTAGGGATTACTATACAGCAGGCTGGAGGGTTAGCAGGGTACCAATTTGGACCCCAGCTTGCTGTCATCTGAGACGGTCGTCGCAGAAGGCCTCCATTCAGTCCCACTTTGAGTGCAGCCAGCACACCGTCGCTCCAGAACAGCAGGAACGGCTCCCAGTTGGGATACAAAGTGGCTCAGCTGGTCCCTCTCCTATCCTCACCTCCCCTGGCGCCCTCCTCTTCACCCAAGCCAAATAAAGCCTCTCAGCCACTTCTGTTTTCCTAATCTGTGAACTCTGACAGAGGCGCCCACGCTTGAAAGAGAGACAACTCAACATGGGATGATCTCCCGGTGACAGCGAGAAGCTGAAAAAACGTTCCCAGGAATGTCTCCGCTGAAACCACCAGACCACCCTGTCATCTTCCTGTTCTTCTCTTCCTCCCTTTCTCTCTCGTCTGTCTTCCTGGATTTCTGCTCCCTCTATTCGTCGCCCACATCTCTTTAATCTAATTTCCTTTCCCATTGCCCCTCATCATCAGCCTTCCTTAATTGGGCTCACTGGTTTGATTTTTAAACCGCTGGATCTGTTCCAACTGCCAAATGGCCTGAGTAATCTTTAAAAACATGCTATGCAGGGGGAGAGTGAGGGCTTTCACTCTAAAAGCCCCATATTATTTTCATTCTCTCATTTCCAAAGGAGTCTATATTACTAATAAGCAAATAATTTAACACTGCCACAGCCCAGGATTTGGGATCAAAGCATGTTTGCACATTCAGGATTTTCATTGCCGTTATGCCACAGAGGAATGTTGTTGTGACAATTTGCCTAATGTGCAGTTTGTATTTATCACCGCACTTCGACCAGCTAATCATTTTAAAATTACTTCTTTTTTTCTCACTTAAATGATGCCAGTAGGTTTGCAAGCAGGCCAACTTTAACGTGAAATGCAAAAGCGTAGCTATTATAGGAGATCAACATGGGAAGCGATGCATTACCCTCAGGTTAAATGTAACATCTTTACACTCAAATGTAATTAATTAGTGAGCTTGGGCAACGTGGCAGCCAGATTTTCCAACACTTAAACAGAGCCAGGATAACTGCTACACTCACTTGAACGAGAGTGGTTTTAATCATCTCATTTAACTCTTGGCAGGAATCATAATGTAAAAATATTGCATGCATGATTTTATTTTCTCCCACAACAATAAGAATATCTCTTTACTAGAACAATGTAAGCAAATCTGCAAGTCTTTTTGTTTCTCTTTAAAAGCTGCAGCCTCTCCTCGCTAACCCAACATTTCTGTGTGGGATTCGTCGTCTTAATCAGAAAGACGGAGACACTGGACTGCAGCTGTTGCTACTTGAACCACATTTAATGAGAGGCTAAATCTTTCCCACTGAGGGGAAGTCGTAGCTTGTTAAACACACGGCCAAAGCTATAGGCAGATAACTTTTTGCTGAAACAGATTCTTAGTATTTAAAAGGTCAACCTGCTACACCTCAGTGCTGATGTCATAGCAGAGATTAAAAATACCAAAAGGCTGATTTTAGTGGAAGTGAGATAAGTCTCTCGTGCATGCTGGCAACTGTTTCGGAGGGCGGACTGAGTGGAATTAAACAGCCGTGTCACTGTACCGTCTCTGTTTAACCTACATGCTCGTCTGTCAGACGCGCCTGACAGCACCAGACCCTGCAAGAGTCCCGGCAGGCACATGGGCCGCACCATATTTAGTCATCCAAAGTCCAGACACAGACCCGTGCAGTCCTCTACCTTAATCTGTCTCCCCTCCATTGCACCCTCTCTCAATTTTTATGTCCTTCCCTCAACTCCCTCCCTCCATCTCTGTCACTTTCCCTCTTTCTCCTACTGCTCCCATTCATCTCTGTCCTTGCTTGCCCTCCCTCCAGTCATTTCTGCTTTATCACTGTCGTGCCCCTCACTGTTTCTCTCCTTCCCGTGTCCCTTTCCTTTCTTGCCTACCAAAACTCTTATATATGATTATGCCATCTATTTTTCTTTGGTCTGCTGTCCACCCACCAACTCTATCTAAACATGCCCATAAAATCTTCAATCCTGTGATAATTTCTAGACCTTTTTCCTATTTTGTTTCCACTCCTATTTCCTCTCTCCTTCAGAGACTCCCCACAGTTTATTTTCCCAGATGAGCATGCCTCTGATGGAAGCCCGGCCTGGATGCTAATGAGTTGCTAATTCTATCGGCCGCCTCTCTGCGCCCTCCCCACTGAGTGTCAAGCCCACCAGCCTTACCATGACCGGTCTTTTGATGGAGTACGTTTGGTTGATGAACTCCCGTCTGTGTAACCACTTTAACCTCCCTGACCGCAGACACATGCAACCTATCTGTGTCCTTATCTATCCTGCCAAGACCTCTTAGTCCAGTCATTAATGAGCAGACCCATCCTCTCAATCCACTGTGCATAGTGTAAGAGGAAATGTGTTGTTTTTATTCTTATGCTGAGGTCTTTAACTTGCCAAGAAGATTATTTCTGAATGTCTGCTTCACATCTCAGATGTGTTAGGTTGTATTTCCCTATACTCACATATAGGGAACTTCCCACTATATCACTTTATACTAAATCCTACAACTTATGCTGTCATGTCCCAAAAGTTCTCTGTAATTTTTCTGAACTTTTTATTTGAAGTTGTGATGCATACATACAGTAGGTACAGAAGGACAACAGAGTACGATTGCACCTCAAACTATGTAATTTCACATTAAGATAGGGGCATTCGGATACTCTATAATACAGCCCACAACCCTTTTACAATACTGTGTAGATACTGCATTTCCCTTATGACATTGTATGTTTAAATAGAAAAACACCTGTATGATATTTTATCTCCTTTCCTTTCAAATACTCCAAATGTACCTGTTACTTTAAAATTATTAACAGCATACTTTTCTTCTTTTCTTTAAGAGTGAAAACTGTATCCAATGTTCTCCTGCATGTATCCATAACACACACATACTGAAAATAAAAAAACCTAAACCTAAAAAAATTACCTGCTTAATGTTGCTAAAATTAACACCACACAGGTTACACTCTGTAATGCGTGACAGAGATTGATATCGATATTCATCACATTAATTTTTCTAAGCATCTGAATTTATGCTTGACAATCAGCTGAATGGTGTTTAAGCACAGAAGAGGCATCCTATTTATTAGGACATGTGGGTGTTATTTTTTGTTTTTGTTTTTTTTGAGGATTTCTATGGACAAAATCCACAAAAATTGACTTTTTTTTTTTTTGATTGGCCACAGATGAAGCTTTTTGTTCTACGAAGATGAAGAACGATTCTGTAGTATAAGAAAGAGTGTGGGGGTAGAAGGAGGTGGGTGTGGTGCATTGTAATTGAATTCAAACGGTTGAGGTACCTTCCCAACCCCTCCGCTGTCACTTTTAAAATGAGGCTCTTCTAGACTTGACATCCAGGGAAGTAAAAAGGGGATTAAGGAAGAAGAAACCTCAGGCCATATACATCTCTTTCTATTGTCTGCTTTCTTTGCTCTGGGGCTTTTTCTCCTTGTGCCCCTCGATCTTTCTCGGGGACCAAGAGGCCTCTCGTCAAGCACTCAGCTTATGAAAGAAGCCAGCCAGGTACCTGTCTTGACCCATAGATTTAGTCTGTGAGACACTGAGGCCTTTCTAAGTTCTTTTAAAGTGGAGTTCATTTCTCAAATACCCATCACTTTTGGTGAATTTTCTGGTTCAGCGAATAAACACAATGCTGCCTTCTTTGCGGTCAGCACTGTGTCACAATAGCGTTGCAACGGTTGATTTCCTGTAAAATTCCTCAAAAATTAGCAAGTAACTACAGCCTGGCCTTCGTATGTAGAATCCACCCCCCGTCTTTTTCTTTTTTTTTTCCCTTCTAGGACCAGCGCTTGCAGCAGTGCTTTGACCAGGGTCACACACGGTTCACTGCTCTGCCGCACCACCAGGGATTATGGGGTGACTTCTGCCATGCTGCTCAAGCATGACCAGAAGGCTTGGCCAGTTTTGACCTGAATAGCGTAGGACTCGAGTAGTGAATGAGAGGCCGGCATTGAAATTCAGGATGCAGCTACTTGCAGTCACTTATGTCTCTCTTTAAATGGTCACATTCTCTCTCTCGGGCCCCTCATCTGTCTGATCCTTTGACAGGCTTTCAGTCAATGAAAACATTCACTTGTGGCCGTACAATGTAAAAGATTTTATTTAATTTCCTTTATAAGGGGAAGTATAATTTGGTTTTAAAGATACACAACATTGGGTTTTTTGTTTGCTTGTTTTTTATGCAGTACATCAATGCCACTTTCCATTTTCTATCCTGTTATGGTAAAATATGTCGATGACATTGACCCTTGTGTTTATTTCTCTCTCTTACAGGAAAGGCTCTGGTCAGCCTGAAGCGAAGGGTCACTGAGCTCAGACACTCTTCTTCCACTGACTCACAAATTACACACTCACGGGGGGGGAGTCACACACTGACACATCAGTGCAACGACGCAGACACTCAGTTTACACACTTGGGCAAACACACATACCCTCATCCTTGCACATAGACATCCAAACACAGGCCCCTTGAGCAGGATGAGGGAACCTTGGAGGTACCTGCTGGGCCTGTGCCTCCTGGCATGCTCAACCTTCACCCACAGTGCCGCTAATCCCTTCACAGGACAGCAGACTCCTCCAGACCCCTGCTATGATGACACCGGTGCAGCACGCCGGTGTATCCCTGAGTTTATCAATGCTGCCTTCGGCAAGGAGGTGATGGTTTCCAGCGTGTGTGGCCGACCTCCCTCCCGTTCCTGTAGCGTGGTGGAGCGGGGCGACGAGCGGCCTTCTGTACGCACGTGCCAAATCTGTGACGCAGCCGACCCTCGCCGTGCCCACCCGGCTTCCTACCTCACCGACCTCAACTCGGCCCACAACCTCACCTGCTGGCAGTCGGAGAATCTGAACACCTCTCCGTACAATGTGACTCTCACCCTTTCGCTGGGTAAAAAATTTGAGATTACCTACGTCAGCCTGCAGTTTTGTTCACCACGACCCGAGTCCCTGGCCATATACAAAAGCATGGACTATGGCAAAAGCTGGATGCCCTACCAGTTCTACTCCTCGCAGTGCCGCCGCATGTACAACCGACCCAACAAAGCAACCATCACCAAGCAGAATGAGCAGGAAGCTCTTTGCACAGATGGTCACACTGACCTTTACCCGCTGTCTGGAGGGCTTATAGCTTTCAGCACTCTGGATGGACGGCCTTCTGGTAAAGATTTTGACAACAGCCCAGTTCTTCAGGACTGGGTCACCGTCACTGATATCCGTGTGGTCTTTAGCCGGCCGCAGATGCCCCGGGAGTTGGTTCTAGGGGCCGGAGGCAACACTGGAGGGAGGGATGATGACCCCATGGCAGTGACATCAACACTCCCAACTTATTTCTATGCAGTGGGAGACTTCCAGGTGGGCGGGAGGTGTAAGTGCAACGGCCATGCCTCACGCTGTCTGAAAGACAAGGAAGGTAAACTGGTGTGTGACTGCAAACACAACACGGAGGGACCTGAATGTGACCGCTGCAAGCCCTTTCACTATGACCGACCTTGGCAGAGGGCCAATGCTCGCGAGGCCAATGAATGTCTGCGTAAGTCTCTCTTCTTATCTGTCATCCGTTATGTGCTTTTAACAATGTTTTAGTTTTTCTGCTCTAGATATCTCGTGGATATAATCTGGATATTGCATGGGATCATTACTTCAGGTTGCAGACAATCATAAAAAAGTCTGAATTTGAACAACACTGTGGCGCAAAAATCAGTGCAACAGTGGCTGCATCTAAAGTTCTGATTGCATCTCTTAGCTGAGCAGATGAAAATTAGGAAATGCCTGAAAATTTCAATGTTTGTCTATTTTGTTGCGTCTTTTCACGGCACAGTTATTTTCAGGACGTGAGCTGAACTGAGAGGGCACCAAAAATGATTTTATACAGAAGCAACACAGAGAAAGAGCGAGCTGTAGAAAAGGATAAATATGAGTTGGAAGACCCGTGTTTGACTGTCATAAGAGTAATTAATGATGTTGCCAGAACATTATGTTGTTTATACAGGTGAAGAGTTGTGCGCTGACAACTTTGGCAATGTCTCTCAAAACACAAGCCCATACGTTCCTTTCATTTCTCATCAGCCTCTTGCATTTACTGTTCCAGTAGAGAAAAACAGGGCTACTGCACTCAACTACATCCTGAACTTGTCTATTTAAAAAAGGAAAAAATTGTTTTGCACAAGCAAGTCTAAACAGTGGATGACAACAGCTCGACTCATTGGCACACGGCTACGGCTAAGACTTCCAAGAATGTTATTTGGCAGCGTTTGCCGTCACCTCACGACACACTCAGTAAAAGTCATCCAGACATGCTCTGAAAGCATGCCAAGAAAAATCATGGCAATTTCTGTGGCAATTTTTGTAATGTAAGTAGATTACCTTTGTATAGGATCAGGCCTTTCTATGACACCAATTTTATGGCTGTACAAAGGTCTTGCTTACATGTCACATTAGCGTTTTTATCAGGATTCATCCTCTAATGTGTGGCTGTTTCTTTGGTGGTTACACACAAATATATATATATATAATTATTATTATTATTATTTTTTTTTTTTTACAGCGTTCTTCTGTTGGTGTGAATAGACTTACGTTGAACTCAATTCAGGTCAATTTTGCTTGTCATAAAAATGTGTTAGCGTAGCAAAATAAAACCATATTAGAAACCACTGTCCCTGCTTTAACCTTTATGAAATAAAATTACAGCCAGAGAAGGAGGGGGGAGAAACAGGAGCAGAACATTGAAAAACTCAGTATATTTTTCTAACATGTTGTAATTGCCCTGTGAGCTGGCCTGAGTTCATATTTAGCATTGAACAGAGCCAAATCTGTTTAAAGGGGGCAGAGAGTGACAGAGCCAGAGAAGCGAGGCCGTTCTAGCCTTAGACTGGACTTAGAACTGACACGGGAGATTTCAACCTTACTTTTGGCTTTTCCTCCTCGACGCCCTCGCTTTCTCGGCTCACAGATGCAGGCACACATACACCTAACCCCTTTCTGTAACAATATCCTGTCAATCCCTGAGTGATTTCGCCCTCGTACTTTTGCGCACGCCCTCTTTCAAATGTCCCGTAGCCGTTTGTGAAGTGTTACGCCCGCTTTCCGTAGATCTCATCTCTGTGGGATTGATATGTCACTTTTACCCAGAAGTTCTGGCCTAAATAGCCCGGCTCCACGGGCCAACTACGATGACCTAATCCCAGTGTTGATACAGGGCAGTTAAAGGTCTTTGCTAGTCGCACGCTATACCTGATCACACATCCTGATTTGCCAACAAACCAGTCCCAGTTGTCCCTAATTTCACGTTCCACAAGCTTCTTTTTTTTTTTGCTTTTTTTACAGCCTATTCCACTGGAACCACTTCCAAAATATTCTTAAAGTAGCAGGAGGGCCTTTTAAAGAGGCTTCTCAGTGTATAAATAAAGCCCCTTAAGAAAAAAAAATGCTGCCGTGCCTTGTCGATTTCTCTGCTTGCTTTTCTTTTTGAGACGTTACACAAACTGATTGGGGGGGTAAGAGTGGTAAGTTACATAGTGGAGGAGTCCCTTAGGTGTCATAAGAGGTCCTGGGGTTGTTTGGGTTTGGAGGGAGAGTCTGAAAGGTCACGATCCTCCGTGCAGGGGTGACGGAGTTAAGCTGATTGGGAGGTGGTTTGTGGGTAATGAGGAATTCAGAGTGGGCAGATTTGGAGCCACATCAAAAGCTGTTTTGCACCCTGCCACTGAAGCCGAGTCGGCTCTTGAGAAATTATGTGCCTCTTGGCTGATTTTTTTTTTTTTTTTTTTTTTTTTTTTTTTTTTTTTACCCTTTCAAGTTCCTTTTAAATGTTGTGCAAGGTTTTGGTCTTATCGGTCTTGACTTAAATCTTAACATGCACAACGTGAACATCGCCTCCAACAGAACTTGGGTTTTGCTAAATGTTCGACATGCCCCGCACCAGGATTTCTGTCTGTGCTCTTGGCAAACTCGCATAGCGTCTCCAGACACAAGCCATGCGCACACACGCCCATCTGCCGCCTCCCTCTCTATGAATCCTGCCTCGAGACATTGGTTTACAAATCCCTGCTGTAGTAGTCGGAGAGGGCAGCCTCGTAAAGGATTGTGTCTGTTTGTATTGAGGGAGACATGATGGAAAAATCTGTGATTTATCTGCTCGGCGTCCGAGGCACAGGAGAGAATAAGGAAACAGATGGATAAGAGCTATTTGGTTAGTGGTTGTGATGGAGTGTGGGCTTTTCTGCTGGCGTGGCCGGTCTCGTAATGTAAATACTTTATGTTAACTTAAAAATATGAGACACTAGATCATGCCATAAATTGAATCTGCCAAAGTCGCACCGTAAGATGAAGAGCCCTCTTGTGGAGTCAACGACAATGTGACATCCTGAGTAGATGATAATTTATGGTCTCGTAGCTCTCTGTTCTTGGCTGTGTCCACAGCCGTCTCGGCCCTGTTTGGCTGCAACAACAAGCTGCTCTATTCTCCAGCCCTTCCTCTCCCTCATTTGTACTCAACCTGCAGGAAGTCCAGAGCACTGCTGGGACGCTGCGAGCTCGGGGCCAGACACCATCCATCCCCCAGTGGCCCACCGAGCCAGATCTGCTTCCAGTGTTGAGCCAGGCGCGCTGGTATGCATTAAACAGGGAAGTCATTTAAAGACTGATTGAACTGCTGTTTCGTCTGATTTGCCAGAAATGCAGGTGAGCTGCGGTTAGCAGCGAAAGCCGAGTGTTTCTGCTCTGCTGACGTCTTTGGGCATGGTGTTGAATGTTTTGAGTAGGAAATTTGACACACTGGGTCCACGGAGGGAATGAATGATATGGTATTCTTCTTTTTTTCTGCACAAGAGGGTTTAATTTTGAAATTAAACAACCAATCAGTCAAAGACCTTTTCACTGTAGACTCTCGTTATACCTCAGGCCATGTCATCACCTGAAGGAAATCCCACAAATTAGTTATTACCTCTGAAAAAAGTTATTAGCTGTTATATAATACGTAGATGCTATTAGATCATGTCTGCTTCACTAATGAAACAGTGGTCTTATTAAAATGTGACTTTTACAGCGGAAGAGGAAGGAGAAGCAGAACGGACAGATTTTTGCGAGTCTTGTCACAAACCCTCTCAAGCTTTTCAGGGGGCTTGTGGCTTTTTGTGGGCTCAGCTTATGTTTTTTGGAAACTATTAGCTGGAATTAGGGGGACATTGACAGATAGGTTTCTTAGGGAAAGCAGTGTGATCCAGCAGTGGTGTCAAAGCAAGAGGCCGGCCAGCAACACATGCTCAGAACCATTACTCTGATGAAGCTTTCAGAGCTGGAAACTCTGAAAGACCACAGAAGCGCAAATTCGCCGCTTTTTTTTTTCCTCTTTTTTTTTATATCTCTTTTTCCACCTTTTCATTTCTCTCACTGACAAGGGGCAGATGGTTATTCAATCCTTATTAGAATTTCAAAATAGGCCTCCATCCTTTCACAGCACCCCTCCTCCTCGTCCTCCTCCGCCTTCACCTCCGCCAAGGCCAAGCAGAGGTCAGGCCCGCGTTCCAGTCATGGAGCAGATTCATCAAGACACTTTTTAGAAACTTACTTGTTAGAAATGACCTCATTCTTAAACATCCCACACATGAAAGCATGGCACAGTATGCGTGAAGATGCATCAGCGACTGATTTCACAGATGAGCAACGTTTGTGTGCTTTTATTTTGAAATGAAAAGCTAACATCACCAGAGCACTTGGTACCTTAAACTGGTACAACATGGTCAGCTGAACTTTTTTTTTAAATTATTATTATTTTAATCTGACTGTAGAGGCCATTATGAAATGAATCTTAGTAAGATGCTAAATATAGATGGCTAAGGATGTACGTTTGTTCCATTTTCCTAATTTCACTAAGTGACCTCCGCTGCCTTTGCCATGGAGGCAAAGGGGGAAACGATGCTTCAGTTACTTTTGTTTGTATGTGTGCTTGTTGAGGGGGCGTGGGGGTTGGTGAGCAAAAGAAAGTGATTTTTTTTTTTTTTTTTTTTTTTTTTTAAAGAAACCTCATGTGCTTTCAAATAATTACACAGCCGCAGAATGTTGTTTTTAAAATCATGCCTCTGGGATAGTTAGCGTGAGACACGAGAGTTATGGTATGGCGAGGCCAACAAACATAACATTAGGCCTCTGAATTCTGTTTTGGTGGGGTGCGCGCGCTTTAAGAATTTGAAGCAGGTCCTTTAGGACAGCAGGATTTGGTCACTTTGACTGTAAGCTTTGCTCTTTGCTTTTATTCCCTCTGTCAGTATTGCAGCTTTGGTTCGTGGCCAACCCGCAAGGGACTGATGCAGTTCTCATTCGGCAAAGCCACCCATAAAGGCTTCCTGGCAAGAATTAAGCGCGGTTAAACAAACGTTCAGGACAGCAAAGTGTCAAATAACAGCGCTTAATGTCAGCCGGGTTAAAATGCTGGATGCTCCGCGGCTGCCCGAGGCCAAGGGAGTGCGCGTTAGTGTGCGTACGAATCTCCTCGCGTCTGTGCATGTGTGAGAGCCACATGTAATCTGGAAGTGT